CAGTGCATAAAAGAGCTTTACGGGACCATCCGGAGCAAAAGAGAGAGCGAGAGAGAGACGTCGCTGCCCTGCGTGCTGCCACTCCCAGGCCGTGCGGAGATCGTGGGGGAATCTCCGTGCGCATTCCTCCCCTCCCGCCACCAGAGACTGTGTGTAAATCATGTTTATAAGTTATGGGGAGAAAAAAGGATCTTTTACAAATGGAAACCAAAGCAACCTCACAAGGGGAGTCATCTCCTTCCTCTGCGAAGTTCAGAATGTCTGGTTTCAATAAAACCCACCTACAATCTTCGTGTCTTGTCCTCCTCTCGTTCGGATTTTTGGGAGCCTCCATGGCAGACGAGGGGCTAAGGAGAAGCCTTTCTGGAACCCCACGAGGACGGAATAGCACGCCAGCCCGTCTCTGATTCCTGTGCCATGCACCAAAGTCCCTGTTCAAATTTTGCTGAGAGAGCAGTCGCGAGAAGCAAGGTTGTATGGCGGTGGGTAAGGGCCTACTCTGAGTTGACCTATATTCAGATCCCACTGAAAGCTGGAAGTAAAGCCTGGCTTAATTTCTGGCACAGATTCTGTCAAAGGTTGGGAGGGAACATTTGATCGAATCCAAATCTGGCCTCAGGGCCACTTTTCAAGTGGGTTGTCCATTTCTATTCCGGAAGTGATATTGATCTATTACAGGTAGTCCTCTCTTAACAACGGTTCATTTAGCGACTGTTTGAAGTTACAGTGGTGCTGAACTAAGGGACTTAAAACCAGTCCTCGCACTTACAACAGTCACAGCACCCCCACGGTCATGTGATCGTGATCCAGGTGCTTGGCAACCAGCCTGCATGACAATTGCAGTGTCCTGGGGTCACATGATCATCATTTGTGACCTTCCCTGCTGGCTTCTGGCAAGCAAAATCAATGGGGAACTGCATGATTTGTTTAATGGCTGTGGTGATTTGCTTAATGACCGCTGCAAAAAAGTCATAAAATCTGATGTGACTCGCTTAACAACTGCTCTGCTTAACAATGTTATGGTCCCTATTGTGGTTAAGCAAGGACTACCTGTATTTCATTGTTCTCGGAAAGACTCACGAAATAATAGATATGAAGTACTTTTGAGCAGTTTAAAAGGCAATATAGAAAGTGCTTTAACATTGCAAGCCAGGTGAATCACATCCAGATTCCAAATCTTGGTTACATGGTACAAATTGCTGCTGGGACTGTGCAACTTTTGTATTTATATAATGGATTTTAATTAACATGTCTATCAATGCCTTTAATTTGCTTTGCAGAAAATGAAGCCTGTTTTTTCCAACTGTATTCTGCAAAAATAGGGGGGGGGTTCTTGACAAAGTGAAATTGCCATGGTTGTAGAGAATGAGTGCTTTGCACCCGTGAAGATGGGGTGTGGAATTCAGTGTTTCACGGTTTAAACTTCTGTTTCTAGAACCTCCCAACTCACCTAGAAGACACCAAATAGTGAAAAACTGCGTCATCCCTGCATAGTTGAAGGGTCAGTTCAAAACTCCTCTAGCGTTCATTCTGGAAGTTCTGCTTTTCCCGAGGCTGGCTGTAAACTCGACATTGTTGGAATCACCCATGCATTTCCTGCTTCTCAGATGGGCTGTTTTGCCCAAGTAGCAGAGTTAGCAAACACTGTAGGAGAAAGTCAGCCAGAGTTTGGCTGGTTCTGATGAATCTTTTAGTCATTCTCAAGTTAGGCTGGCACTGGAAAAAAACAGCCTTATGAAAAGAGGATGCTGCGCACCATTCCGCCACAGAGAGGAGGCGAAAACAAGAGAAACGCTTTCTGTGCATCTTTCCCTCTTGGTTTAGGCTTGTTGGCTCGGCCTCAAATCATTTTGTGGCAGCCCCTTGTCACCCAGGTGCCCCAAAGTGGGACTCGTCGGCAGGCCGCAGCTCTTGAACAAGCCCCTCCCTGCAGGCACTGAGGTGGCATGGTGGCCAACCTTGACTTGCAACAGAGGTCTTGTGGGCTTCACTGTGCACGCCCCTTGCTCGAAACCAAAGTGCTCTGGATAGCCAGCATGACTAGTGGGGAAGGAGGGGGGATTGTAGAGTCACAACATCTGGAGGGCAGCAATTTAGTGAAGTCTGGATTAGGAGCTTCCAAACGCTTGGACTGCCATGATTCCCAGTGACGGGAGTTCAAGGCCAACACTTCTGAAGAGCACCTGATTGTAGAAGGTTGCTGTAGAAGGAACTCTGCCACACTTCTAGAAAATTCCAGGATTTCCTTGAATGTCGGAATAAAACCCACTCAGCCACATTTCCTTGCTTGCAAGTCATCTCCAGGATGGGTTGCCACATTCCACCCTCTTCCCTTTGGCCAAAATGCCACCAACTGTGGAGCCAGTATGCACATCTATTAGGGTCCTGGGATCACATCTGGCCTTTGAATGATATGCCAGGAGCCACGCTCCAAATAATATTCAGGAAAAGATAATACCTAAATTGGATTTGATGTAAACGTAGGTAATACAGTTATGCTCTAGGTATCATTATTCCTCCAATCATATTCAAAATCCTAACTGGGATGGCAATGTCTGAAGAAGATGCAGAGAGAAAGCATTCAGTGTTGTGCAACATGGGGCTTCCAATGCAATGCACAAATCAGGTGGAGGGAGATGGGGCCTCCTAAGCTTGTCTCTGCCCAGTTGGGAACATCACAGCCATGGAAGGGAATCAAAATGTTCAACATGGTGGAAAGATGAACGCGGTCATATCTCATAGAGGCCCGTCTCTGCTCCAGGACTCCAAGCCAACAAAACTCTCTTCCTCATACTTTCTCCTGTTGGCCAAGAGCTTCTCTGCACAGAAGGTAAACCTCTAGCAGGGTCCTGATCCTGGGAGGTAGGGCTGGGTGGCAGAAATACGAAGAAATAAGAAGAGGAAAAACCCCAGGTCTTGACTTCTGCTGCTCCAGCTATTATCATCATTATCTTTATATTATCATCATGCAGGCTATTCAAAAGGAACTTGCAGGCTTAATGAGGGAGATGAAACAGTGGTGAGGATCAGCTCTTTTACCTGCCTCGGACAAGATCTCCTGGCCTTTGGATCCAAGTGTTCCTGTTTTGCACAAAGAACTTTCCATTTGTTCTGATTTTGTGTGCACCTGTAAAACATACAGGCAGTCCTCACTTAGCAACCATTCATTTAGTGACCGTTTACAGTTACAACAGTGCTGAACAAAGGGACTTGCAGCACTCCTGCGGTCACATGATCGCGATCCGGGCGCTTAGCAACCAGCTCGTACTTACGACGGTTGCAGCATCCTGGGGTCTCGTGGTCACCATTTATGACCTTCCCAGCCAGTTTCCAGCAAGCAAAATCAATGGGGAACCGCCTGATTCACTTAACAACCTCCCTGCTTAACAACAAATTTTCTGGTCCCTATTGTGGTCATTAAGCAAGGACTACCTGTAGTTCAATTTGCTCTTCCAGGTGAAAATAGCAAATGCAGAAAGGGGAAAGGGGAAAGGGGAAAGGAAAGGAAAGGAAAGGAAAGGAAAGGAAAGGAAAGGAAAGGAAAGGAAAGGAAAGGAAAGGAAAGGAGATAGTGCTTGATATGGAAGCTGTCCAGAAATTTTCCACTGTGTGTAATCTTGGCAAACAGTATCTTATCAGTCCTCCAGACATTTTCAGGAATGTAAATATAACCATGAAAATGGTTTTGTCCAAAGGTACAGTGCAATTCTACGCATGCATGCTTAGAAATAAAGTGGGATCAACTCTAAAAAAAGTACAGGTGCTGTAGTTTTGTTTGATCTTCAGATCATTCTTTGCTCACATTCCCATCTGATGGAGTTTCACAATGAAATGTGCTGGTTGTGATGACACATCACCCTTGACCCAGTTGCTGGGGTGGGGGAGACAGACTCCATCAAGGTTAAAGTCAGTTAAACTCAATATGTTGTGTGAATGTATCCTCTAGGTCAGTGTTTTTCAACCCTGGCAACTTTAAGATGCATGGACTTTAAGGCGTGTGGGCAAGTTATGCATTTAAGAGGACTTTCAAAAAGATTGGCACCAGACTCTTTGGCCATAGAGAAGTTCCCATGGCTGCTCTTTCCAAGACCCTACCAGAGATGCTGGCATGTGTGTTTATGCATCATGGGTTATGAAATGATTTGGCATGTAATAGATAGGAAAGAGGACCAAGAAGATCTCGTTGCCCAAATACTTTGGAGCCCAAGTTAATGAGTGATAGCACAGGATGGTCACCCTGCCCTGCACACCGATAAATTGATCTCTAATTCCCTGGCAGACGTTT